TATATAATGCACTAATTTGATTCGATAGTGATTAAGTTTCCATTGATTCCTTAGATCCAGCTAGGTCTCCCTCTTAAAATAAGATAATGTAAAATACTATATAAATAAAGTGTGATTGAAAAAAAAAAAAAAGAACTCATGCATGTATGGTCCTATTTCATTAGCACTAGTATTTCTACTGTATTAGTAGTAGTACTTCTGATTCCTTTTTTTTTTTTGCTTGGTTTTTCCAGGTATTAATCGTCGGGACACGGGGCACACCGTTTGTACCGGTTATATTCATTTTTGACTACGCGTAATTTCTATTGCACATGATGTAATTTATTTTGCACACGACATAATTTTACAATATTTTTTGATGGGTCCTACACATAACGTGAAAATCAAATTACATGCTGTAATTTGAGCCGCACAAATTTTTGAGACCACATCGTAGCCGTGAACCTTCAGGAGAGAACCGTTCCTGCGCATTTCCTAATCGTCGAGGGGCTTCGTTCGGGTACAGGTAGGGCAGGCTTCTGCGGCTCATCACCTTCATGGGACCTCTGCTATCAACCAGTAATGTTTTGTAGTATTCGTTTCCATGAGGGTCACTAATCACAACTTAATCAATCACACATCAATGTTTGTCAGAGGACAATTATTCAACGTATTGACCCTGCTTCTTATCCGTTTCAAGAATTTCTTTTTTGTTTTTTGGGTCTGTTTCCAGAATTCATTTCCTGCTTTTCTTTCTCTGTCCCTTTATTTTTGGCATTCGGTTTTTTTTTCGGCTTTGCCAACGCCCTTTCAACCATTGAGAATTAAGCATCACGAGGTGAATTTTTGGTCATCAAGAGCAACATCTTCCATTTTTTGTCAATACGACTGGAATCTGAGTTACTTATGTTAATAGAACGGAAGAGGGGCAGGAACGGTTGCAGTTGCAGGCTGCAACCGTTTCTGACAATTCACGATTAAGATTTGGCCAAAAAAATTATACGGTTCAAATCTTATATTGTATCTCGTTTTTAATAACATGTGTGGGGTTCACAAAATTTTGTTCTAAAATTACCCGTTGTTGAAAGTAAGTTACACCATATGCAAACAGAATTACGTCACGTGCAAAATGCACATAACCTTCGGGAACGATTGAGCAACCGTTCCTGCCCCTAGTCCAGAACGGAACATGCTCTTGCAGCTCTTCCAGTGATGCATGAATTACCTTTTTTCTCTTTCTGTCAAAAGGTAAAAATGGGCAATTGCAAAACAAGTCATTTGTTCTCATGGAGTGAATATTGAAGAGAAATCAACCGTTCACGTACAAATTCAAAAAAGTGAAAAAGGGTCAGACAATGTTCATGTGAAAGCACCTATTCAGCCTTAAAGTAGTATAGAGAACAGTACAATAAATAATTGATAATTCGAGCCATGATTCATTTTGTTGCACTTTCAAGTTTCAGCTCTCAGATTTGAAGACAGCCATGCATGGAAAACCCCAGAAAAAGGTTGTAGCATGCGAAGAGATGACTTGCCAAACAAAGCACTTTTGGGTGTAGACTAATTCACTTCAGCTTTTACACATTACATCCATATATATGTATATATATGTCCATTCCCCTTCGGAATACGTGACTTCCTAAAATGTACACTACGAATTCGAAAGTCTTCGTTTGGCTCATGGAGATTTTCATCTTTCCAAGGGTATGACAAGTTTATAACAGTAAATCATTTTGTTTGATCCACAAGCAAGATTTAGCGTCCGGCAAATAGTCTAAGATGCCATTGACAATAAGAAACTCAACGGCTGCTGCTGTTTATTTGCGTATGAGCATTTTCAAGAGTTGTTATCCAACATTATTGGATGCAGACAAATAAAAATAGGTGGAAAACGGTTAAATTTCCTTGTCATACCAGACAAATTGAAGCTTGACCTTGTCCATTTTTCATTCTTCCCAAAAAAAAAAAAGGAAATATTCTGGCATCACTAGTTAACTGCAATTCCATTATTTTCAACTTCTACATGGAATAAAGCAGATGACTTTAAAGATAAGAAAACGGGTAGCAGATTTGGAAAAGGGGGAACCCGATTAACATTGCTTGCCTACACATCGCTTTCGCACCTAATATAATTACTAAGCTACAATAATAAACAGCCTAACTAGTTTAGGTGCAATTATTAAATGTTCTGTTCTTTTCTTTCTTATAGTGACAGAACAGCAATAAAAGAATAGAAGATTGGAGTTGGAGTACTTAAATTTCATAATCTTTGAATTGATGGTGATTGGTCTTCTAATTGTATTAGGATAATTAAGTTGACAATAATGGAAAAGGTAAGGCTTCCTTTATTTTCATCAAGTAGCTTGGACATTTCTTTTAATTTTTTTTGGAGATAATTAAGTTGACACTCCAAGCATATGCCTCTTTTTTTTTTAAAAAAAAAAAAAACCCTTTTTTGGGTTTTCTAAATTATTTTTTTACCTCACATATATTAAATTTTAAAAAGTACTTATTACATTATTATTTTTCGGGTTAATACCACTTTGTCCCCCCAAACTTTGGACGATTACCCACTTCAGTCCCTAAACTTTAAAATGGGACATTTAAGTCCCTAAACTTATAAATACCTTCCACTTAAGGAAAATTGTTAACAAATTCTGAATGCCGTTGGTGGTCGAAGTGTCCCATTTTATAAGGGTTTAGGATTTAAGTGTCATTTTATAAGTTTAGGGACTTAAGTGGGAGGTATTTATAAGTTTAGGGACTTAAGTGGGAGGTATTTATAAGTTTAGGGACTTAAGTGTCACATTTTGAAGTTTAGAGACTGAAGTGGGTAATCATCCAAAGTTTGGGGGGACAAACTGGAATTAACCCTATTTTTCTACAAAAACTCCCCGGAAATGCCATCCCATGTATAGGCTCTAAATGTTTTCCATTTTCGCTAAAGTATTTTGTCACGATCCTCATGGATGCAGTCATGTAGAAAGGAAAAGAAAACCGACGACACAAGGACAATGTCCCGTTAAAGGTTTTTTTCTGTCTGTTCAATAATTTCAATGTCCACCAATACTGGGTCTACACCACATATTTATGCCATTATAACTTTCGTTGCTTCGACCTCCATACTCAACACAATTACAGTTCACTAATTAGAGAATGATATTCTCCTAAAAAGAAGAAAAAAAAAGGAGATGATAATAATATGTTTTCATGCTGCTGATAAATCTTTTTTGTTTTATTTTCAGGTTCAATACAAAAACAATGAATAAATGAGTTACTGTATAATCTCGCGGTCCAAACTACGCGACTTCGTTAAAATCTAGGCTCCATTTGGTAAGTGAATTTTTTGAGTATTTATTTAAAATTTTACTGTAACTTACAATAGAAATTGTAGAAAAAATTTTTGATGTATGTAAATTTTTGAATATTTTAAAGTGTATAGTTTAAAATTTTTGAAAATTTTTTTAAAGATTACTATTATTAAAATTGTTAAAAAATTTGTAACAAACAAATTTAGCAAAAAACTTGCTTGCCAAACAAGGCCCTAATTATCATCCTTGTTTAATGCCTTGCTGGGTAATAAATAAACACACTTGACTTTCCACTGAAATCTACAAACTTAACATCTAAGCTAACCCCACAGGAGAACCCCAAAAGATGCTAACTTTTGGAGTCTCCTATGGAACTTAAATTCTAAACTCACAAACTCCAACAGATCGATGTGAGGAAAACAGGAAGGTTGCTACTAAACCCGCTAATGGAATCCACCCCACTTTGATTTTTGACCCTCGCCACTTGACTTCATAATCGTCAACTTGCAAAACTCTACCTCTCAATTTCTACGAACTCTATCGGGACAAAGGCTTTGGAGTAATTTTTTTTTTAAGAAAAGGTTTTGGTAGATTCGGCTCCGGCCACGTTATGGAACACATCTTGAGACTATAAATTACTTACAGAAATTCTTCTGATAGAATACTCACTAACACAGCTCTCATATTGATAATGGAATTTGATCACACGGCCTTTTGTGCTAGAATAATACTACTAATTATTGAATGAACTTCCATCCTTTCCGGAAGAAATAAGCTCTCCTATTACCCTATCTGCAATACTAATTGAACCTTTTGTTTTAGGTTTTATGCATGTCATGTGGAGTGAGGAAGAGTCAAGAAATCATTTCCCAGTCCGTAGATTGAAATCATGAATGTGCCCCCAATCAGGATTTAAGCCATTATAATTGCCCCGAAAAAGGAAAAAAAGAAGAGGAGGAAAAGGAATAAAGATGAGGGATACACAGCAATTACCACGTAAAGCAGCAGGACCCCACTTTGTCTATGCCAATCCCCGAGATATTCCCCCCGCTATCAAAGCCCTCCTCACGCCTTTGCACGTCAAAGTATCCATTAAAATTTTAAAATACTGCCCTTCCCTCACCTATCTTTTACTTTATGCCTTTAGGAATAATTAAAAAAATCCTTACTCAAGAATTGGAATTTTCTTGCTTCAAAAAAAAAAAAAATGGATTTTTCTTTTTTTAAGTCTTGTCTCACCTGTTCCTTCTCAAGTCTAAAAGGCTACCATACTCCCCTGAGAGCTCAATGGAAGAGAATTCAACTATTCAATGCTTACCCTTTGAAAAGGATTTCTTAAATGTTGACTATTATTGTGATTTTTTTTAAAACATAATTTTTAAATAACTTTTTTATTTCATATATATTATAAAAATTAAAATATTATAGTAAATTAAACAATATCACAATTGAGTGCATAACATCTATTTTGAATTAAAGTTTGAGATATAATTTTGCAATATATATATATTATGCATTTAAGTGATAATGTATACGCTGTTAGTGTATAAGATTAACTCTGATAAATAATGCAAAAAATTTTCAAATAATTTTCAATCCAAACACACAAAAAAGTTACTATTGGCATCTTATTACCCTTTTGGTAAACCGTGTAAACTGGAAATAGAAAAGATATTGAAAAAGAAAGAAAAACTCTGTCACCCACACAAAAAATAAAATAAAAAAGGAAACATTTCTTTACTCTTTTTTTTTTCCCCAACCATCACTTTATGTCTTCACGACACAACCCGAATCTTTGTCAACAACAACAAAAGGAAGTCTCACCCACTCTTCTCCCGGCCTTAGTTATGGCCTTTGTCTCTGCCCGTCTGCCGCTGTCATTTCTCCACCAGTTTAACCTCTCTTCTCTTCCTTCTTCCCGTCCTTCTTCATCTCTTCTGCTAAAAATCCCCCGTCTTCTCTTCTCTGCTCCCAACATTTCTTCAGCTGTGTCGCCATCATCATCAATAATTCCCCCTCCTCCTCCTCCTCATCATCATCATCATCATGGGCTATTTCTCATGCAATGCAGAAACTTCCGTTGCCACGTGTGATTCCTACAACTTCAAATTAACCAAAAAACTACCGCCCTCCAACAAAATCACCCTCTTCTCCTACTCCGATCTCCATTCCTCCACCAACGCCTTCTCCCAGGGCCACCTCCTCGGCAAGGGCAGCCACGGCAGCGTTTACAAAGCCCACCTGCTTCTCCACCCCCGCCAACACCTCGTCGCCGCCGTCAAGATAACCAAGCCCACCTCCACCAACGCCCCCGCCGAAAACGAGATTGAGATCCTCTCCCACGTCCATCATCCCCGTCTGGTCAATCTCCTCGGCCATTCCGTCGATTCCCATAACAATAAATTGATCGTTGTCGAGTACATGCCAAACGGGTCCTTGTACGATTTGCTCCATCGTTCGACCAGGCCGCCCGGTTGGACCAGGCGTGTCCGGTTCGCTTTACAACTAGCGAAAGCGCTTCATTTTTTGCACTCCTCTAACCCGCCGGTTATCCACCGGGACGTCAAGTCCTCGAACGTGTTAATCGACGCGAATTTCAACGCGCGGCTCAGCGACTTCGGCTTGGCTTTGAGAGGACACGTGGAGGACGTTCGTGTGAAATGCACCCCGCCGGCGGGGACGCTAGGGTATCTGGATCCGGGCTACCTTGCGCCGGGTGATCTCAGCACCAAGTCCGACGTGTTCAGTTTTGGAATTTTGCTGCTGGAGATGATCAGCGGGAGGAATGCCATCGACGTGAATTACAGCCCGCCGTCGGTGGTGGACTGGGCGGTGCCGGCAATAAAAGCCGGAGATTTTGCGGGAGTCTGCGACCCGAGGATTGGGCCGCCGGAGGATGAGGCGGCGCTGCTGCAGCTGGCGGTTTTGGCCGCAAAATGCGTGAGGACTTCGGGGGCGAAGCGGCCGGCAATGGCGGAGGTGGTGGAGAGCCTAAAAGGTGTTTGCAAGAGAGTGAATTATCCGGTTTGGAATAACTTGGGGAGAAGCGTGGACTGCGTGAGAGATCCCACGCGCGTGACTACTAAATACGAGCCGCTGGATGAAAGTGGTGAGATGATCAAGACCGCCAGAGCAAGCAGTAGAAGGACCAGGAAAGTCTCGAGCGTGGGGAGCCTCGAAGGTGGAGGGAGCGAGGCGACGGGTAGAGATCGGAGTGATCGAATTGGAAGGTCGAGATCGATTGGGTCGTTTAGGGAGATTGAATTTGGCGCGTTGGATTTGAGCAGTAACGACGGTGGTGTAGCAGGAGGAGGGGTAGCGGGGAGGAGGAGGAGGGGAGGATTGGCTGTGAAGATGCCTATAGTAAGGTTGAGTAAGTCGCGGTCAATGGGAATGTTGCAAAGCACGAGATTAGCGAATAATAATAATAGTAATATTACTGCCACCAATAATAATAATAATAATGAAGGGGTGGTGGTAAAATTGGTGTGGAGTCCTGATGATGGTAGGGAGTTGGAAGAGTCGAAATTGTTGGTGGATTCAAGAAACGAAACTCAAGAAGGATGATCCATTACATTACTGATGATAGGAAAAAGAGATTATTAATTAATTACTAATATCACCAATACTGAAATGGTCCAAATTTTTATACTGTAGTTTCTTCGATCTCCATCTCTGCTCTCTAGTTGGTGGATGGATAGATAGACAGACAGATAGTTCCATGTGTAAAACTGGAGGGTTTTTCCACAATCCCATATTCTTTTTGTTCTTTTTTCTTGTTGTAAAGAGTACTTGTTGAACTGAATCAGTCAGCTGGTTGTTTTTGTGTACCATGTATGATGTGATATATCTCCGCCGGAAGTCCATCAATCGTGTTCTTTCTTATGATTTCATCAGCCAGCCGGAATGAAAGTTGTTTCCCACAAATGCTTCCTCAGTGAAAATGAATGAATGAATGGTCAAAAGATTATTCCTTTTTCATCTTCCATCCAATAGAGAGGTGGAGAAATAAAGTAGCTGCACTTTTCAGAGCTTCTTCATTCTTCTTCTGCCCTATGCCACAAGCAAGCGTGGGACAGGTTTTTGGTAGCCTTGCTGCTGGATTCTTCAGAATCCATCCATGATTGATGGATATTCTTCAAAGCTGCGGCGGCGTTGGTGGATTATTGAGTGAGGGTGAGGCCGAAAACTTCCCTTTCACCAGCGGACATGATTTTGATATCATCAAACACTGCAGGTAGTGGCATTGCACTGCAGCTGCCTATATCCGCCGCCGCTTCACCGTAATCTCAGCTAAGCTATTCACTGCTCTGGGTATGCTTTTTTTTTTTTTTTTTAAAGAAAAAAAATTTCTTTAGATGCTCATTTTCATGTAAGAAGTAGACCATCTTGTGTTGTGTTATTGGCCACGTGAGCTCAGTCTTTCTGGTTCCTTAGGTGCTCATTTTCTTGTTTATTTTATTCATGTTTTTGGCATTTGGCTGTAACATCAGCTTAGAATTCTTTCAGCCACCTTTTTTACTCTGATGTAACATCAGCCAATTCGTTTGATTAAAGAATAATGACCCACAAGAATTTCCCATGGTCTCAACTTCGAAAATGAAATTTCAAAATTTTTTTTAACAATGGAGTCTAAGAATTCACGAGTTATGTTTTGTGAATTTTACTAGATGGCCTCCGTATTTTCTCTAATATAACATAAGCTTAATACGTTTCTTGCTTGATTCAGGTTTATTTGGGATTGTGATGACTTATAAAGAAACATTTTTGACATTTATTTTTTTTATACGAGTGCTTTTAAGTTATTAAAAAGCTATAGGAAATTAATTACCAAACACTCTAAAAGTATATTTAGTGTTTTTTTTTTGTAAACACACTGCAATCCCAAATGGAAACTTAGAGTCATATAATTTTTTTGTCTCTTGTTTTTTTAATTTTTACATTAATTCCACTAATTTATAATAATAATTTTGATCTCTTGTTTCTCATATCTATGTTCGTTTTCAAAATAGGTTTTTCTTTACATACTGTGTTAAGTTTTTAAACATATTGTTAGTATATAATTTGTAGATAAAAAAATTATAGATGAAATATTGAATCTTATTTGTTTGAATCAAAATTTAAGAAAAAAAATACAGAATTTACTATATATTGCGACAAAAAAAAAAAAAAGGTTAATGGCTAAAATCTCATATGTAAGTAGGTCGGACAAATCACTTACATGGTACTTTTAAAACTCTAATAATACGTTTAAATTTTGATTTATCTTTGGAATTTATAATTTTTTTTAAAAAAAATTTTAAAAATCAGATACGGATAGAATATCCAATTGATCCGATCTGCATACTGCAGATATCCGGATTAACGGATCGGGATTCGAATTACAACATGACTGATCCAATTTTTGCGGGTTAGATAAGCATTTTGATTCACGGGTCGGAATATCCGACTCGAACGCCCGTGGCACTTGAGAACCTTGAAAGGCGCAAGCCAAAACTAACTACCTCCGTATTTTCAACTCGGCTGTGGCTCAGCACATGTTGGACAGATGCAGTTGGCATTTAATTTTAATCGAACCAGCAACTGGGAATTTAATATATAGTTAGTGGGTATGCTGTATGAGGATGCAGCACGCCCTGAGGACTGGAGATCTCTAGTCTCTATCTTCCTGAGCTTCGTACTCCAGCACATTTCACCCTTTAGCCACAAGGCACAAGACTTAGAGAGGGGAATCTATACATCAACCGTACTCGACTGGGAAATGAAATAAATGAGATAGTATTTGTCTTCATCTTCACTGACCAAGTCTATTTCTCCAAGGTAGTTTGATGAAAGGTCAAGCCGACACAATAGGTATTGCAATGCGACGAGCTTTGCTTGGGCCTTGGAGAAATAGAAGGAACATGTATCACACGTGTAAAATCTGAGAAAGTCGCACATGGATAATATTCTACCATAGCGGGTATTCAAGAATCGGTACATGAAATCTTAATGAATTCGAAAGAAATTGTATTCGGAAGTAATCTATATGGAACTTGTGATGCATCTATTTGTGTCAGGGGTCCTGGATATGTAACTGCTCAAGATATCGTCTTACCGGTAACTCGTGACATTCAAACCTTATGGCAATTTTTTTTTTCTAATTTTAATTTGTGTCTTTTTTTTTTTTTTTGGGTCAAATGAAACTAAACATAAGATTCATAAATAAAAGAGTTGCTGCAAATGTTTGACTCATCATTTGGAATAATCTGGAAATTCTTGATACTTTAATTCAACAATAGGCAGCAATCAAAATGGACAAATCGAGTAGGATAATATAACATGCGTGGTTAGTTTGACTGATTGAGAGACATAGCGTGGCAAATTAAGCACTAGGACAAGGATTGGAATTACAACGTAATAAAAGAATTTTGAGATTATTAATCGAATTCTTTTTTTTTATATATATAAAACACAATATAATTTCATTGAATAATGAAATTCTACACTAATGGCAGAAAATACATCATTCGTGCGCAACTATAAAAAAGAATCTGAAAATTTAAAAATAAATAAATATTACACTGTGAAACCTGAAAATTTCCTAGCAATCGGCAAATACGAACTGCCACGCCGCTTTTCTTGCCAGTTGATCACGGAAAGGCCCATGTGTAGCAAGTCGGAGGAATTTTCAATACGAATACCCCACAAAAGTGACCTGAAGTTGGGACTTTCTCTCCATCGATCCAATAATCAAGACAACCCAAATCCATAGAGGGTAGCGATGATACGTTTGGGCCAGCTGTGATGGTTTCCCATTCTTGTTAAAAAAAAAACCAAAATTTTTTTTCCAATCTTATTCAATTGAGAATTCCCTGGGGGGGGGGGGGGTTTTTTTTTTTTTGTTGGGTCAAACAAGGATTCTCCAAGTCTTTTTTTTTTTTTTTTTTTTTCAAAGGGAGTGGAGTCTAAAGAGGCAGTGTATAAGGGACTAATAGGTATAAGAATCTAATTAAATCAAATGGATTTTTAGAGGAGGGGAGTCTAAAGAAGCAGTGCATAAGGAGTTAGTGAGTATAAGCATCTAACTAAACCAAAGGGATTACTCTGGTATCTTCTTTGAATTTTTTTCGTTGCAGGTAAAGTTTGAATCTCCGACCTATAACCCAAAACTCAGTCATTTGAGCCCAAAGAGGATTCTCAAAGTCGGGATAGCTCTTTTTGCCTTTTCTTTTACTCTCTACTTTTACGTCATCCAACCAAATATGCAAAATCAGAACTTGTTGCTAATTAATTACCTAATCATCCGGTAGATAATCACTAATCATGAGGACAAGTAATTTTCACATACTCTGTTGTTAATTTTCACGCTATATTTATACTTGTCTATAGATAGAATCTGACACTCTATGCGTGTGCTTATGTAAAAGATGCAATGTATTTTTAACCAAAAGTTCCAAGAATTGATTGAATTAAATGTCACGAGAATAACAAAAGGGAAATGGTTAGTTTAACAACCTAAAAAAAAAACAAAGCTATATATGGAATAACATAAAGTTACAGAATTTGTTTACATCACAAGCAAGCTCCTCTTTTGTAGTTTATACATAGTATCCCATATCGATATTGGTGTCCTCGAAAGGGACTGTGTCATGGTTTGGAACAACTTAATTCTTGATCAGTTTCTTCTTCTCGAAGTTCCCGTTCTCTTAAGAGCAAGGCTCAGTTTTCCCGACCTAGCATCCGCCAGACAGTAGTGATCCGACTTGATTCAATGATTTGGACCACCTACATCTGAGTGTGTTTGGATACCCCAATTTTGTCAAATATTACACAGTTGATTTGCATCATAAACACATTTTTCAATTCATTTTTTTCGAAAATACAGAGTTGCAGGTTTTTAAGACGAAATGAATTAGAATTGTAAAACTGGAAGTTTATGTCTTTTTGGGTCGGAAGTTGCTTACTTTTCCCTTTATAAAAGTGATCCCCTATTCCACTTCAATCTTGACTAAAGTAGACTGCAACAATTGAGCAAGAGCTAGGGTTAATTGCAGCTCGCGCCCCCTGAACCATCACTGATTAGCAATTTCCTGTTCTAAACTATAATTTTTAACATTAACTGCATTATACCGTGAATTTGTAGCATGTTGCTCAAATTGATTCAAAATGAATTGATTTGGCAGCTATCTCTGGATACAAAGACTTTAATACCCTTAAAAGAATAAGAAAATTTCAGTAAGATCAAGATGAAGGGTGCTAAAGTCTTTAATTTAGTGTAGAAAAAGTAAGAGAATTCATCGATTGATAATTAATGTGTCATAAATTGATAGTATAAAATACTCTAAATTCATAACATTGGCTTCGTTTGGATTAGCTGTTTTTTGGGGTGTTTTTGAAAAATTTTATTGTAGTTGAGTTTTTAAAGTATATTTTGGGATATTTTTAGAATATATTTAGGTATATTTAAGAAATTTAGCCTACATTTTAGAGTACTTTTTTTTAAAAAAAATTTTTTTTTAGTATTTGAAAAACTAATTTTTGAAAATTTCAGTAAGATCAAGATGAAGGGTGCTAAAGTCTTTAATTTAGTGTAGAAAAAGTAAGAGAAATCATTGATTGGTAATTAATGTGTCATAAATTGATAGTATAAAATACTCTAAAGTAATAACATTGATAGTTTAGGGTGTAAGTGAAAAACAATTGATCGCTTAGGGTGCTTATCACATTAACCAAATTAGTAAATCGACTAGCTTGTCGGCCTAGCCCTAATGCTTTGACTGGTTTCTTGTTTGTAAATCAAAAGTCGTCCATTTCGTTGGACATGCTCCTTAAAGAGCATATAATGAGTGGAGAGCAATTGCTCAAACGTTTAATCAAAGGAAGGTTAAGAAAATGAAAAAGAAACACTCAAAGAGAAAAGAGAGGGTTTGTGTGTGAATAAAGAGCAAAAGAAAAAAAAGCATACTTTTAGTGATTACTGATTACTTTTATCGACCATAACAAGATAGATTCAACAAGTGGTCTAGGAAATATCTAAACTTCAAAAAAAAAAAAAATTAAATGAATTCGGAGAGATCCAGTCAACACATAAAGCTAATTGCTCTTCAATCTTCGTATTTTCAAGATTAAGTTATATAAAATTAAAATTTATCTATACTTACAGACCAAAATTGAGAACAAAACGTAATTTAATTGGTAAGATACTTTACCGGTGACCAATAAATCTCTGGTTCAAATCATCAAAAGAATAAGACTACGAGTATCCCAATATCATATCAAGTTGCACGCCTCAATCTTAATCACAATTGATTCGGTGGTAGATATATAAAATTAGGTCTGTTTATTGCCCGTTTCTATGCTATGAGATCCCTGGGCCTTCTTATTGATTCGGTGGTGGTTCGGTCCCCTCCGGCTTATCCCTGGGTCTCCTTAGACCCGCCCCTTCCTCTTAGTATAGGATAGATTAGGTTTATCGTCTCCGGCAAAAAAAAAAAAAAATACTATGAGATCCATTCACGTTGTTGCTGCTTTATTTTTAGAGCAGTGGAATACCATGTGGACTTGAAGCTGTTAGCTGTGTTTTATGTTTGCTTCAGTTCTATCCAGATGGGGGGTGCTGGAAAATGATCATTAATTGTAGAAGATGTATACAAATCAAACTCAAATATATTATTGTCATGATAATTTTCAAATTGGCTTTTTGGACAAGAACAGTTAAAAAGATAGGTTTCTTGAAATCGATTTTCTTTGTGCGCCATGCCACGCTTCCATGAAAAGACGCACTTTTGAACAAATATGAGTGCTTGGAGGGTGTTTACTGTTTAGGGGTCAACTTCTAGTAACTTTAGGAGCAGAGTTTTTGATATGTAAAGCAAGTGAAAAATTGACAGTACTTCATAAGCAGAGTTTTTGACAGCATTGGTAATTAAAGTACAATTGAATAAGCTGCTGTAACCTAATTAAACCGGTGCTTAGCTTACAATGGGCCAGAAACACAAGTCAAATATAAAGAAATCAGCTAACTATCGCTTTCATAAATTAATTAGCTTACCGTAAGCTACCCATAAGATGTCCTTTTTGTCTCTGCGATTTTGTCAACCTCTCCTCTTCCTTCGTTAGAATGGACTTTTCTATTTAGGCCAATTGTACAACCCAACCCCCCCCCCCCCTTCCCTTTTTTTTTTCTGGGGTACATGCTACGGCAAAACTTCATATGCAATTTTTTTTGTAAGAAAATATATTGTAACGATTTGATATATGTGAATTTAAAAAAAAATTAAAAAATATGTTCGTGAAAAAATTTAAAAAACTTCTTTTTTTTTTAATAGAAAATCAACGTTCCAAACAAGACCTCTTTTTTCAAATTTTAGTGCTTATGTTTGCAAGGACGGTTACTTTCTATCTCAAACTGTTAAAAATATTTTCACAGTAGCCATAAAACATCAAAATTAAAAAACAAAAAAATTTTCAATTGCATATTCTCTTCCTTTTTCTTTTCCTTAGCCACGACAATAAAATATACGCTCTTCCCGCACTTCTCTGAAAATATACGCTTTTTCAGAGACTCCCCCCGTCTATCCGACCAAAGTCCAATTAAAGGTTAATTGCATATTCTTTTCCCCATCCATCAAGATTCCGATACGGCAAAAATTGGTAGACTTGGGGAAGCGAGGGGGGGGGGGGGTCAGAATTCAGCGTTGTTAGCCGTCTTACATTCAACCTTCAAGAAATGGCTGACTAATGAATACAGAATTGAGGAGAAGTTTGAAAATTGACCGAGATTACACCTCCCCGAAAAACCACAGGTTAATCGTCATCAATCAGGCAGTAGTTGAAACACCTCAAGAAACTGATGATCCAGATATAAAGATGTGGGTGGGCAGGACTCAGGCAGGACCAACAAACGTAGAAGACAATCGCAAAATTAAACATGAGCTGTTATGTCTGTCGGGGATTTATTGTGTTAGAGAGATCCAGAGCCCACATGTTCCTACCGGAACAGAATAAAGCAACATTAGCTTCATCTTCTTGATATTTTTTTTCCGACAGCTTCTTCGCTGGACTAGTCTTTCTCCAACATCTCCATCTTACGCTGTCCAGCATATTTCCCCCTTTGCTCCCACACACTCTCTTCATCTAGACTCCCCTCCCTCTTCCATCTATCTCTGCAAAGTTTCTGTAACATGTGCTGCAGAAACTTGTACTTTTTTTTTTTTTTTTTTTTATACATATACATATATAAATACTCTTCTTCGTTCATTGCATATCCGAACTTTCCAAGTTTTACTACTAGATATGCCAAAGATGTAGATTCTCCTAGAATTCATCCATTTTTTAGAACATCACAGGTCGAAACATGTCACTGTATTGCAATAAATAGGATCCGCAAATATAATTAAAAAGCGATTATAAATCCTTTTCATTATTGAACTATTGAGACGTGAAACGTGATCCATGGAAAACTGTGGATTACCCCGCTTAACAAGCCAATTTGCCATGCAGCATTTGACAAATGGCCTACATACATACATACATATATATATATTAAGCTGGTCAAAGGTGTTGGAAGCTTAAAACTTGGCGGTACCGGTATTGATAGGGAAGGATCAGAAAGAACTGGTCTTAGGAATAGACTAACTAAGTTGAAGAAAAAAAAAAACAAGAGTCTTTGCCTCTTACTTGCACAATAGAGACTGACTAGTTGAAGTAAAGAAAAGGATTTTTGAGTATTTCATGATTTTGTAGCAAGGAAAGATAGGAAAACCATTGACTTGGACTGTGGAACTAAGCTATATATATATATATTTGCTGAAGATATAACCACCATGAAAAACTGGTGGGGAATGGGGGCAAGGCATATATAATATATATGTATATATATACTATATATATATATATATAACATGTTTTGGGAGGACAAATATATATATATGTAACACCTGTCTACAGCTGATTAGCTTTAATGATACGCTCAGAAGAGTGTGAAATGCAAATGCAAAATAGGAGGTTGATGCATGAATGACATTAATATCTCGGTGGGAACATGAGGTTTAGGCAGAAATAAAAGTAAAAGCCGAAATGAAGCGTGTGAAGGAGAAGATGACAGACTTGGGACGTTTCTGAAACGGGCAGCAGCCTTGCATGCCAAACACGTACTGAATTTACTCAGAAAAGTCAGAAAATTCATCAGCAGTGTTCTACAATAGGACATTATTGATTCTCCTCCTCCCCCATCATCATCTTATGACACTTTGAATGCTTGTGTAAGCTTTTCAAAGTGGCCTCAGTACGTCTCTACGCGGGATGAGAGGCAGGAGCGGTCATCAGGTGTGCCAGAAAGTAGAACATAGAAAGCCAAAAAAAAAAAAAAAACTAGTAGAGGCCATCAAACTCGGAAATTCGTATGCACCTCTTCGGGAATCAACAAAGTACAAGGAAGAAAAAGAAGTGCACCTTGCTACCTTAACATGTATTGTAGCAAGTAAATGTTTGGGCAAGAATTGAGTCCGAATGATGCTATTTAATTAGTAGTCTCAAACTCACGAGTCATTTTATCACTGAAAATAAGCTGAATACAAAGCAAAATTGAAATGTGGATGATGAGAAGCAAAATTGAGAGAAAGCCAATTAAGCAAGGAGTACTAATTAGCAAAAAGGTCAAGAACTTAACCTAACTAAAATCTCTAAACCTCTCATCAACCCTCAATCAGATTTTGTTAATCTGTTACACCAATCACCAACAACATATTTTCTTTCTTTCACTGATCTACCTCCTGCTCCTCCTCTTCCTTCCCCATCATCCCAGGTCACATTAATGCACACAAAACGTTGCATTTTCTGCACACCCCACTTTGGAATTAAAAAAAAAAAAAAGGGAAAAGCTAGCAAAGAAAATAATGGGATTAGGGTTTTTTACCAAGGGTGTGTTTATTGTTGTGCATCCAAACCTTGAGCACGTGGCGCTTCACATTAGTTTCTGCACAAAACTGCTGCACTAAAGCCTCATCTTGCTTCTGAATGCGCCACCCAAGCCTTTCCGCAAAGGCCAACATCTTCTCCTTCTGGTCCGGAGTGAACTTGGTCCTAAATCTCTTCTTCGATCCCCCGGCTCCTCCACTGCCCCCTCCACCTCCTCCTCCGCTACTACTAGGATTCGACACGTCTTCGTCTTCCCTCGAAGTCGAGGGAAGCGGCAAGGGCCTCTGGTGGTGATGATGAGAAGGCGGAGTGACGTGGAGGTAGCCGGAAGGATGGGGGGAGCGGAAAGGGTAAGCTGGTGAAAACTGGTGATGGGCATGGTGGGGATGATGGTGATGAGGATGGTGGGGTGTGGGGTGGGGCTGGTGGAAACCTTCGCCTTCGGTTTCTTTCCTGTGGAAGTTGCGGTGGCAATTGCAGGCCGCACATTTGAGGGATTCCAGGGTTCCTTCTTCTCCAGCTGCCATGAACTCCCCACACCCGTCCACGGCATGCCCACCTATGGCCACAGCATGATTCTTCAAGCATTCTCTGAACCTGTATGAAGTTGTAGTAGAAGTAGTAGCCATAGAGCCGCCGCCACCACCGTTTTTTCTTGCCGTCGTTGCAGCTGACACCCCTTCTCCTCCTCCTCCTCTTCCAGCTGAGTTCCCGAGTGTTTGATAATTCCCAGCTTGCATCTGATGCATCCCAATTTCTTCTTCTTGCTCTTCATGCTCGTCAAACTCCATTTCTTGGCCACTTCTGTCTTCTTTTCTTTTCCTTTCTTTCCCCCTTTTTTTTTGGTTTTTGACTGGTACAGTGTAGAAAAGCCCTCTTCAGATACTCCTATGGTAGGATTACTGAACAACTGGGGACTTCAACAAGTTGATTGCTTTGTTTTAAAAAAAAAAAAAGAATCAAAACAAAGATCTAATCCATGATTTTGATTAGACCTTGATGAGCTCTAGATCCATCAGGTAGGGAAAGTTTAACTCAGTGAAGATTATGTAAACAAACAGACGAAATATAATACATATAGTTGAATATATAAGAAGGAATGGGGAGATATGGGGAAATGATTAGTGATGAGGATGCTGATCAGAGAAGAAGATAAGAGGAAGAGGAGGGTGTGGACATCAATTACCCGCCTGCTAAAATAAAAGGAAGAGAGGGGATAAGTAAAAATTGTTTGTTTTCAATTCTTGAATTCCTCCTCTCTTTCTCTCTCATAATATACCTTAAAAAAGATTAATTGGGGCTAATACTCGTATAAATTGTGGTAGTATTCTACATCAGTCCTTTTCCTTTTTTTAGCATCTGATGGTTGATGTTAATTTTGTTGTTTGTGACTTCTTGTGAGTGGTAATAACTGATTAATGGTTTTGATCGAATTTTACCGGATGGTAAATCTTGTGCTCCCTTGGATGAGAGCATCCACTGTTTCAGCTCTTTTTTGGCCTCAGAATATTTGCTTTGCTTAGGAGGGTAAAAGTTTAGGTGCCCCTGAATTCACTTTTCAGTGAGCCTGAGAATGGCAATTTGAGAGGAGATGGCGTGTCTGTCTGGAGACTCTGGTCAATTCTATGACGTCTACTTAAACTGACAAAGTTGGATCTTTGTGAATTTTGATTTTTTTTTCCTTCTCTATTTCCCTTTCTTTCTTTTTAGGGGCCATTTTTATTTTATTTTATTTTATTTTTTGAGGGAGGCAGCTAGTAGAACTGTAAAGTGATTACCATTAATCAGTTTCTTGCACTCATAAGTTGAAGCTCTAATTTCAGCCACCATTTTTCATTCTTTCTCATCCAAGGATGAAGGGAAAATTGCAACGAATTTGTTTGTAACAATAGTATGAAAATTTTTTTTTTTTTTTTTTTTTGCAACAATAACTGTTGTATAACTTAGTCTAAGGCAGTCTAAAGAGATAGGAGAGTCGATGGGAAAACGTCGAAGGAAGCCATCCTAAGGTGGCAGTTACAATTAAGTGAAATTAAGTGCTTCTAATAAGCTCAATCCTCTTATCAGAAAGTCATTTCTTTATTCCGCCCGAATTACATATATAGCTAAGAGCCTAAGGCCACAACATAATGATAATTGTGAAATAAATCAAGAGGTGCTTTAGGTGACTCTGAAAATTATTGCTTTGTTCAATTTACTTATACTCCATTATATGTTATACTCCACCAACCCCCAAGAAAAAAAAAAAAAAAAAAAAGAGAGAGAGTACAGGTTTGGAGATAATGATGCATTCATTGTATGATGGTATCCAAATGTCATTCATCATACACGATGTCTAAAATTAAGTTCATTGGTACTTTTCTACCATACCATTCAATAAGGATGCCACACAATAAACACTTAGAAAGGGTTTCAATGTAAATGAAACCGCAAGAACCTCTTTTATGAACATTGACCAACAACCACCAAATAGTGTAGTCTTTTTAGCCCCAATGACCAATACTAATAATATTAGGGGTTAAGATTCTTTCTATAGGATCTCTCTCTCCATTTATTTATATCTACATTACTATGGTTTTATAAGGTCGTCCGATCGCGTCATTACTTTTCTTTTGATCTCTTAATCAGCATGCTAAAAAATAAATATTCGTTTAAGAATAATTTGACATATAATTTACGGGTAATGAAACATTTCTGAAAGGTATTAAATTTTCAAAATTAATTTTATTAAAATGTAATGGAGAGAAAGGAAGAGCCTGGTCCTGCTCATATCTACCAGGTGACCCAATTCGCAAAGACACGAACAGAATTCGATCAGTTTCTATACTTCCTTCTTGGAAAAAACTAAAAAGGGAAGAAAGAAAGAATGTAGTGCTGGATCAGTGATCTAGGAGTACTACAGTGCTCAAACAGGGGGTGAGCCAGAGTGGGCAGTGGACGGGACTGCTGGGGTCTGAGGGCACGTCTCCTCAGAAAGGAAATGATATAGAGGACAGTGGAGGAGCCAAATCAAGAAATGTGGGGATGCCGTGGGTGTTGGCCGGGGGGGTCGGTTGATTTTGATGCCAAAAGACAAATGATCGACTTACGAGTCTAAAAACTAGCTAGTCCTACTGATAGGGAGTTTTGCTTTGCTTTAACATGTGGAAACCAGTGCAAAGAAGGTTAGGGTTTGAGGGAACTTGTCGGCATTTATGGCTGCTGCTGCCTCTACGTGGCTCCTTCTCCGACAGCCCACCACCTATTAATGGCTTCCTCGCTCATTCTAATTTGGCCCGTTGGAAGATCAATACTTGGAGGAAAAAGCTATCAAAGCACAGATTCTTTCTTTCACAAATTAACGGCCATCTCTTTCTTTTGTTTCATCTTTCATGGAGTTTCTCAGCTTGATCTTGATTATTAAGTCTGGAAAACCTGAGCATGAATTCGTGACAGAACATATATAGCTGCCGTGTGGATTTTGCTTATGGAATTGACGCAGGTAAGGAATCGTAATTTGTGAGTATGGTGTATTTGTTGCAGGTTACTGTAGAATTGTATGGTATAACAACACTTGACAAGTTTGATTCGACTCTGAAACAAGTACAATCTTCTTCCTACCACCCAAAAAGAAAAAAAAAATGACCAAAGGGAAATGCTATTCTTTGAATTCTTTTAAGGGTAAAATACAAAAAAATTCCTGTGGTAAATCTAATACATAGAAAAGTTCACGTGGTTTCAAAATATACAACATGACACCTCGTATTTTGAACTAAATTGTAAAGGTAACGGAATCTGTTAAACTTAACGGAAATGACTTATTGGAATCTAAAAAAAAATTTATACCTAATTTTTAACAAATATACATGTTCTACCCCTTAACTCTCAATTCTCTGTATCTAGAGAATAAAACAAATGATTTTTTTCAATTGTCTTTTATTTAATTATATCAGGGCATTTTGATCATCTCGTCCATTTTCATTAAATTTAACGGATTCCATCACCTTTACCACATAGGACTTTTTGTTTTTTTACCCTTCTTTTAGTCCTAGAGATGTGCTCGCAAGTAGCTTACTTGCGAGCAGTTTGATCAAACACTAGCTCGAATTTGATTTGATCGAGTTCGAGTTCGATCTAACAAGTCAAATTTGAGTGTCAATAACTATTACTTGAGTGCTCGACGGATTTAATCGAGTTTTTGTATTATTTATATAATATATATTTTAATTATGAAAGAACTATTATGGGTTAATATTTTAATAAATTTACACGAAACAATATCCAAAACTCGAGTTATATGTCAAGTAGTTCAACATCGACAAGGCTTGTAGTTTACTCAAACTCAAACGAGTCGAGATCGAACTTAATTTTTATTACATCGAATTGAGTCCGAATTTAATGTCATGTACTCGTTCGAATTCAAACTCGAACTCAAGTGGCACTAATAGTGATCGAAGTCAAGCTCAATAGCACCCCTAGTTAATCTCATCAAGCATGTAAGAGGTTGTTCGATTCGATAGCATTTTTTGGAAGAGTATTTTTTAAAAATTACGACAGCATATGCCTTTTAATGTTGTGCATGTGAAATAAGATAGTAGTTAGGAAATATGTTAGTGAAATATTCCTAAAAAACTCAAAATTTTTTCTCTAAAAATACCAATCCAAACAAGCTCACAATACAATCACTTACTATTACTGGTTAAATTATTGATTACCATATTCATCTGATAGTACGGTTTACATCCAATTATATAAGCCTCGATGGATGCAATTTTGATAACTAAGGCCTTGTTTGGACAGTGAAAAAAGAAAAATTACTACATTTTCCGTGAACATATTTTTCAATCACCTTTTACCTCACATCGTTACAGTTATTTTTCTACAAAAAATCTAAAAAAATACAATCCAAACATGTCCTAAGTTAGCAATTTAGTACAACTAATCATGGCATCATATATACAAATATACAATTAGGCTAAGGCTATTAATGCGGTAATTGCTAGCTCTTTGACGAACTTCCCAAGACCAAAACTGAATGCCCGTTTTGGGTCAAAGTTGAATGACTTAACCGGTGTGAGAGGGAGAGTAAACGAAAAATCTCAAATTCAAACTCTCTCACTTATATACAATTAAAAAAATAAATAAAAAATTTCCATGTTTGGATTGCATTTTTCATGATTTTTCATGAAAAAAAATACTATAACGATTTGATGTATATGAGGAAAAAAGATAATAGGGAAATGTGATCACGGAAAACGACGCAATTTTCAGGCAAAAAAAGACAATTAGCCAGAAAAACATAATGAGTTTCTTTGGATGAAGAATATTTGGAAGATTCTTTTGAAATGTTTCCTAACACATTTGATAGTACATTATTTGAAATAATTTTTTCAAAAATATTGCGGCACTTTTTTGATGTAATGTATGTAAGATAAAAAGGTGGTTGAAAAATATGTCGATGATGCAAATAAATAAATTTTTGAAAATAATTTACAATCCAAACAAACCTGGATATTGTCTCAAGAATGGTTCATTTATCCAAAAGAAAAGCACAAAGTTTGTCTCTGTTCAGGTGATGAGCTGAACAAAATGAGTTTTCTCTTGTGTGCAAGAGTGAAACTGTCTCGTTTCAAAATAGATGGTATTACAGGGCATTGTAATGAAAATAGATTCCTGATGAGCTTCATCTCGGGTCTCCCTTCTTTTTCCACCCTTTCTCATACATCCAATAAATGAAAAATCCAGTCCATGGTGCCTGCCAGATAAAGCAAAATTTATGGCATTGAGCTAAGACCATGAATAAGCCACACACAAATGATAGAATGTAGGGAGTCAAATTTATGGCAATACTTGATTTTTTTTTTTATTATTAGCAACGATACATTTGTATAACCTACTCTATCATAATCTAGAGGAGGGGGGCCTAAGAAGGCTGTAGTAGAGGACTAGTGGATATACAGATCTAATTAGACCAAGAAAGTGCTATGGCACAACGTTTTGATTTTTTTCGCTGCAGGTGAGATTTGAACCCTCACTTACAGTCCAAGCAGAGACTTAAGCCCTGCCCAAAGAAGGACTTAAACACCCACCCTGGTGGCCACTGAACCATTGGTCCAGTGGTTATTATAGCAATACTTGACTGAGCGGTTGCACTTCTAATAACATCATTGTTACTTTACACTTTTAAAAATATTACTTACCTCGATTGTCAATCAAAAAAGACTAGTGTCAACGGCAATGGTAACAAATTGACTCTTC